CCAGGCAGCATCATCCTGCATGTTTCCATGGTCCCCCTAATGTGATATTCCATGCTTTAAAGAATATGGAGGAAATGCGCATCGGCTCAGAGCAAGGACTGCGAGCTTCATGGGGCTCCTGCAGCCATGGCTTGGGGCTTCCCTTCTGTCCCTCCCACCCAGGGCCAGGTGTGCCCAGAGACCGTGGACGCGCTTTAACTGGAACCTAAAGAAGAAATAACCTTGAAAACAATGTTTGCATGAACGGCTGAAAGTGAATCAACACATTCTAGCATCAAATAGAAATCTTGAGGTTCCCTGCAAGTTTCTGAGACTCTATAATTTTTCCTATACTTATGAGTTAGTATACTTAATTAACCCCATGAGGTCCTGGCTACTTGCTAAGCAAGTGAAAGCACAAAGGTCCTACTTCCAAGGACTCTGACCTTGCAGGTGGGGAGTCAGGCATGCCTCACAGGGAAGATGCAGCCAGTAAGGAATGGAGGTTTCCAGAAGCTGCCTCAGTTATTATTAACACATATTTTTAAAAAAAAAAAAATAAAGCTGTGACTATTTGAAAGAAAGTTTCTTTTTAGCAACCAGTATTATTATAATGAAGTATGAGATTTAATTTTTAATAAATGTTCACATTCAATATATAAACTAATGCCCACGATGGGAAAGCATACACAGTTGTATTTTTAAATTCACATTAATAGTGAAGAAAGTTATAGAAGCTTAAAAAATTGCTTATAGATAGGTATAAGGTCAGGAAGAAATGTGTGTCCTTTGGGGGAAAATGCTACCGTGTTTCCCCAAAAATAAGACCTACCCATAAAATAAGCCCTAGCAGTATTTCTAAGCATTTGCACAATAGAAGCCCTACCCTGAAAATAAGACGTAGTGATGGGCGTGGCTACACAGCGCATCTGCACAACCCAGGCATTTCGTTGCTGAGCGGTAAAGAACACGAGCAGCCCTTCTCATCTGCCCCAGGAGAGCTCTAGTGCTCAACATGAGAGATTGGGGCCAGTGGTTCTAAAGGAAATAGAGTCACAAGAAATTCAGGATGGAATTCGGGGTTTGGAGAGTTACGATGGTGTTCCAGAAGAAGACGACTTAACTATGTTTGAATAAATGTAGATTGTTGTTCCGTACTTAAAAAATAACACATCCTCTAAAAATAAGCCCTAGGTTGTCTTCTTGAGGAAAAATAAATATTAGACCCTGTCTTATTTTGGGGGAAACACGGCACATACATTGTATTTTATTAAACCTTGTTCTTAGTAGATTTCCTAACTGCAGGCAAGAAGAGAACTTGTCCCTGCATCCACCACACTCCTTCCCAGGAAAGAGTTCTGCTTAGCTTGCGCTCACCATCCAACTGTGATGCCCCACATGTGCGGCTCGGGAAATATTAGTATTAATCATGAACATGATCAGGAAAAAATCCTTCCAAATGCCCCGATCAGGCGGGGAGTTTCCAGTTGTTTCACAGTGACAAGGACAGATGCCCTGTCCACAATCCTCAGGGAGCCTCTTAGTGGAATTCCCACAAAACATGGGAAAAATCCCTTTGGAAATCCCAGCCTTCCAGTCCAGAGGGATCTGGCACCAGCAGTCTCAGCAGGGAGGCTGCCATCTCAGAGGACTGCTGAACTGAAATGGGCTGACTTGTCCCCTTCCATTTTAAGGCAAAAATCACAGTAATGGGTCATTGTGGAAAAAAAAAGAAAAGAAAGACACAACTCTTCATGTTGAGTTTCTTCTAACACCGTCTGCAAGAGGAAAGGGCGCCCCATTTAATCTCTTACCTTTCGGAGCCTAAAGGCAGAGTCGGGAGCAGGCTGGGTACTTCTCGTGCAATGGAACCATCTTCTGGAAAAGCTGCCCCAGAGCCTCCAGGGGGAGGGACAGCTGAGGTGTCATCTCAGCACTTGACATGCTGCCCTCCTACCGCTGGGCACCGTAGCCACGGATCTGTCACGTCTGACAACATGCATGTGTCCAGCCACAGCCTTGCTGACCGCAGTGGACCGAGACAGGCTCACCCGACCGCTGGCTGCAGACGGACTGTCTGGGCAGGTCCTTGTGGCCGCAGGGCAGCGGGACTCCACGGCCGTGCCATGCTGTCAGGCCACATCCTGACCCGGCTCTGCAACATGTCGAGGGGCACATGGGGACGGGGAGGGAGCATTGGTGGAAGCTGCTGGAAGAGCACTCGAAAGGGCACGACTCGGAAGCCTGTGGGTGTTGGGAGGAAACGCAGTGGAGCTATGATCAACTCCAGGATCGTGATTTTTGACAGGACTGAGTTCTATCCTTGCTCGGCTTAGCTGGAACGAGAGCCAGTTCTATCCCGGGTACCGGTTGCGCACCCCAAATCCCAAATACTCCAACATCTGAAACTTTTTGAGCACTGGTGTGACGATCAAAGGAAATGCTTGCTGGAGCATTTTGGATTTGGGATGTAAATATAAATGCAAATATTCAAAATCTTTTTTAAAAAAGTTTTTTTTTTAAATCTTTTTTTTTAATCTAAAACACTTCTGGTCCCAGGCATTTTGGATAAGGGACACTTACCCTGTCACCAGATGGCTTCTGTATTGACACCACAGAGATTGCTGGACGGGACGACGGCTTCTGATGGTATCTCACCCGTGAGAAGTCACTCTTGCTCAACTGAAGCTGCAATGAACTACATTCTTATCAGACATTCTTTCAGGATTAAGGACTTTTAACCACTTCGGTACCAGGGTCGACTGTAGTCGACAGCCACAGATGAACGCGCACAGCAACTTTAGCTGACAGCCGTGATATGACTTTTCTAATTTTTCATTTATCAAAATAAAATTGCAAACATTTAAAAATAACATAATAAATGACATAATGAAAAAAACATAATGAAAATATGTATATGTTACCTATTCTGATTTACATTACAAGTAAAGCTGCCTGTAAAGTAAAATAAGCTTTCAGTGCTTTCAAGCTGTCCTCATCACACAAGAGCAAAACGGACTCGTCGTCCATGCACAGCACAAATGATCGTGCGGACTGTGAGTGCCGCTGTGGGCGAGGCTTCTCGGCCAGTGAGCGCCGCGCCAAGTGGTTAAAGGGTGGAGTTCCACATGTAAGCTCTTAAAATCTGTTCTATTGCGAAGCTTCCCTTTCAGTGGATGCCGCTATCCAGGGACAACTCGGGGCTCAGGCGTGTGCCCTACGGTGACTGGGCGGCTGCAGAGGGCAGTCCTGAGACCCCGTCTTGGCCAGGGAAAGAAATGTCTTGCAGCAGGTTCCTACAGTCCACGGGCTTCGGGACTGTATAGCAACAGAGTTAAAAGAACAGGCCAAAGAAGAGAGCCAGGTCTCTGCCTTTATTTCAAACATTTAGGTTCATATGTCTGAGCCCAAAATGTACGTTTAGTTTGGATCTCCGTTTCCCCGGATGGCTCAACTGACTGGGAAAGCTCCGGAAGCCCTCAGGGCTGCCCGAGCACGTCACCAACACATCTTCACAGTGTTTCCAGTCTGCGTTTGCTCGACGCTGTGGCCCGAGGTCCTTTCTAGGGCCCTGGACCAGGAGATGGCAGGTGGCAGCCCAGGAGAGCAGTGGGGTGGGACTCAGCTGAGGGGCCACACAGCCCCGGAGTCCTCAGGACGTGGGACGCCCACACTGTGGGGCAGAGCTTCTGGGTTGTGGACAATCTTCTTAACATTGCATTTCCAGGTGTCACACAGCCATGCCCCACCTGTGGTGACCAGGCCAGAACATTTGCTGTGAAAGACACCTGGCAGAGAGAGAGGGAGGAGACTGAGTGTCTTGAATTTCCAACTTGAAGACATTTTTATTTCTGAGAATAATAGGAAAGCCCTTTCAGTAGCAGGAAGATTGGGGTGTGTATGTGTGTAAAGATTGAGATATATAGAAATATATCCATATGTATACATATATATATATATATATATATCCACACACACCCCTGAGCATTTATAGGGAGCAGGGAATGGTACCCTATATAAGTAGAGCATCAGAACATGTTCAGGGAAGGGGGCTAAATATCACTTTATCTCATTTAAGAGGTGAACACACATTCTACATAATGATAAGCCTGAGTCCTACTTGGTATGTTTTTCTTGTTCACATTCTTTTCTTGAGAAAGCTAGAACATAATTTGGCTCATGTTGACTCTAAGACCTCACAGTGTCCTCCCAGTATACATCAGGGAGTCTCAGGGAAGCTTCTGCCAGTTCAGGAAAGATACTGTGTTATTCTGTAATCCATCTGCAGGTGCTCACGTCTGTCTTCCAAATACTGCAGCCCTTTCGCTCTGACTTCTCCTTTGCTGCATTTCAGCTGCTTGGATCGTTGCTGCTCTGAGGTTTGCCAGAGATGTAATTCTAGGAATGACCAGTTCAAATGGGTTTAGGAATTGGAGCCATTTGCAGCCTGTCATATAAGTTGTTGGCTGACACCAATTCCAAGGCAGTGTCCTAGCACCTTTCTGCAAAAATTTTTTGTGACTGAGTTTGAAAAAATGGACTAGAAAAGACCTAAAGGAAACTGTCATATGTAAATAAAATGAATACAATTACAGAGCCAGCCATGCTTTCTCACTAACAGGAGTTCTTGATTCTATGCATACTTTTTTTTTTAGGTTGAAAATACGAGATTGTTGACACTTGGCTGCTTTTGACCTACAGAACTAGCAATGTCATACTGTTCAACCTAAAGTATTCAAGGCCACAATGTCTGGCACTGCCTGTTACTTGAACTGGGTTCTCCTTCCTAGTCCTGGAAGTCAGGAGAGGAAGAGAAGGCACTTTTTAAAAATGCCTAAATAATTCTGCCTGTCCGAATCACCACACTGCAGCAGTGGAGCATCCGAGTCCCCTTGGCCACCGAAACCGGATTCCATGATCTGAAGGTCGGGGAGGGAGGTGTGTAGACCCCACTGACACGCAGTAACCATGCTGAAAAAAAACGCCAATTCCGACATCCTCTCTCTTTCTCCCATAAACAGGAACCAGGAAAGCAGTGGCGGACTGCTGTGGAAACACCTGCTACCCCCGCAGAGGAAGCCGCAGAGGAAGGCTCCAGGCTGAGGAGTGAGGAAGGTCCTCCCGCTGTGGACAGGGGCTGCCCCTGACGCCCGCCTGCGGGTGAACCGCGGGTGCCCGGGCGCGGCGAGGGCGCAGACGCAGGGCGGGAGCTGCTTCAGGCGCGGGGGCACGGGACAGACGTCCTGCAGGCGACCCCCGGAGCAACCACCAGGAAGCAAAGCCCACCTGGGCTGGTCTCCACAGAAAGCGGGCTTCAGTTCAAAGCTCTGAGGTTTGGTCCGCCTGTCTCCGGTCGGCTGGTCTTGAGGGACCAGCGCGGTGGCACAGAAAGCCTTGTGGGACAAACACCCCTACAGGCCAGAGCCTGCCCAGAGGCGCTGTGCGCCGGACACCCCAGCGCTGCGGGGGCAGAACCGCAGTCAGGCAGCGGCCACCCCTCCGCCCGCCCCGCTGCTGACAACGCAGTCGCTGGCGTGGACACCCGAGCGCACAGCCAGTGTTGAGGTTACTGCGGCCCAAAGTTCAGCGAGAGTTGGACACGCCCCCCTCCCGGGAGTGTGGGCCGGGTGAGGAGGGGCGGCGTGCTAGCAAAAAAAAAAAAAAATCGTGGACTCACAGAAGTGAAATTCGATCGCGTGCCAGGAAAGCTCCTGCAGCCAGAACCCCCTACTGAGTCAGCACTGACCTTGACAGGACCTTCGGGGCTGCCACACGGGCGGGAGGCGACACAGCCCACCCATGGAGAACTCAGTGGCCCCCTGCGTCCTCTACCCGGGGGACGACCGCGTCCGCGGGGCCGAGCCCGGGGACGCCTTTGCCCACGGAGCGCGCTCCCAGGCCGGGACTCCAGGAGAGGGCAGCCCGCAGCCGCCAGGCGCGGCCGGGGGGGCGGGCGCTGCGTCCCCGGCGCAGACACCCTGCAGCCTCAGCGCGTCCCTGTGCTTCAGCTCCGGGGACGACTCCCCGCCACAGTCCCGCGCCTCCGCGGTGGAGGACGCCGCGACCTCCCCGCCCCCTTGTCGGCGCGGCCAGCGGGTGGTGGACCGGCAGTGGGAGGCTAGCAGCGCGGGCGCCTCGTCCCCGGAAGAGTCCGCGTCCCCTGAAGAGCGCGCATTCCCGGAAGAGCTCGCGTCCCCGGAGGAGCGCGCGTGTCCTCAGGAGCCCGCGTCTCCAGGGGAGCCCGCGTCTCCAGGGGAGCCCGAGTGCCTGGAGGACCCCGGGGAGCCCGCGCCAGTGCCGCCGGGGGCCGCGGCCGCCTACGGGGAGCCGGACCTGGTCATCGAGGTGTCGGGCCGCCGGCTCCGCGCGCACAAGTCGGTGCTGGCGGCGCGCAGCGACTTCTTCCGCGCGCGCGCGTCGCGGGACGTGCTGCGGGTGCAGGGCGTGAGCCTGGCGGCGCTGCGGCTGCTGCTGGCCGACGCATACAGCGGGCGCATGGCAGGCGTACGGCCCGACAACGTGGCCGAGGTGGTGGCCGGCGCGCGCCGCCTGCAGCTGCCTGGCGCCGCGCAGCGCGCCACCGACGCCGTGGGCCCGCAGTTGAGCCTGGCCAACTGCTATGAGGTGCTCTGCGTGGCCAAGCGGCAGCGGCTTTCGGAGCTGCGCGACGCCGCGTACCGCTTCATGAGCGACCACTACCTGGAGGTGCTGCGCGAGCCCGCCGTGTTCGGGCGCCTGTCGGGGGCTGAGCGCGACCTGCTGCTGCGCCGCCGCCTGGGCGCCGGCCACGCCCACCTGCTGGCCGCGGCGCTCGGGCAGTCCGGGGAGCGCACCGGCAGCCGGCCGCAGAGCCCCTCAGGAGACACGGACGCGCGCGGCGACGCGGCCATCTACTGCTACCACGCGGAGGCCGGCGAGTGGCGCGAGCTGACGCGGCTGCCTGAGGGCGCGCCGGCGCGGGGCTGCAGCCTGTGCGTGCTCTACAACTACCTCTTCGTGGCGGGCGGCGTGGCTCCCGCGGGTCCTGACGGCCGTGCGCGCCCGTCCGACCAGGTCTTCTGCTACAACCCTGCCACCGACCACTGGAGCACGGTGCGGCCCCTGCGCCAGGCGCGCTCGCAGCTGCAGCTGCTGGCCCTAGATGGACACCTGTACGCCGTGGGTGGCGAGTGCCTGCTCAGCGTAGAGCGCTATGACCCGCGCGCAGACCGCTGGGTCCCAGTGGCGCCGCTGCCCCGGGGCGCCTTCGCCGTGGCCCACGAGGCCACCACGTGTAACGGCGAGATCTACGTGTCCGGGGGCTCGCTCTTCTACCGCCTGCTCAAGTACGACCCCCGGCGCGACGAGTGGCAGGAGTGCCCGTGCAGCAGCAGCCGCGAGCGCTCGGCCGACATGGTGGCCCTCGACGGCTTCATCTACCGCTTCGACCTGTGCGGGGCCCGTGGCGACGCCCAGGCGGCGTCCGGGCCTGGTGGAGGCGTCCGCGTCTCGCGCTACCACTGCCTGGCCAAGCAGTGGAGCCAGTGCGCCTCGCTCCTGCGGCCGCCGGGCACCCCCGCGGGCCTGCAGCCCTTCCGCTGCGCTGCCCTGGACGGCACCATCTACTGTGTGAGCCGCGCGGGCACCTGGCGCTTCGTGCCCGCCCAGGACGCAGAGCCCAGCGGCGACGCGGGCCTGGGCGGCAGCTTCCAGCCCGAGGCCCCCGGGACCCCCGTGGACGCTCGAGCCGCACTCTTTCCGTTCGTGCTCAACCTGCCTGAGAAGCCGGACAGAGGGGAGCAGGGCGCAGTGTAGATCGGGCGTGGGTAGCTCTGGGGCCCGAGGAGCCGCCCCCGTGGGCTGAGGTTCCGGTGGGAAGGGGAGGGCGGCGGGGGTGGAGGAAGAGAGGAGGGAGACGCGTGGGGTGGGCCACTGGCCAGTGGGTCGCTTAACTGCTGTGGAGGTAGCCCTGAGAACACTGCCGCCAGCCTATTCTGCATTCCTTCTTGCTTATTTTGCTTAATGGGGTCGGTGGCGTAAGACGGATAGAGGGTGTGTGTGAGCAGACAGCCTTACAGATGAGACGGGATCCCCGAGGGAGACAGGAAAGCAATCAGAAGACTGGGCCTCAGGGCGCATGGGCGGGTCCCTGGTGTCCCTAAGTGCGCTCCGGGGCACCCCCCTGTCCCGAGGGTGCACAGCAAGCCTGACTTAGAAAGCCACGCGGGTCCCCGGGGCCACCGCGCCAGTCTTGTGATCCGAGAAATAGGCCAGCCCGCACCATTAGTGAAGCCACCGAGGGGTCACACGTCTTTGTCTTTGGCTTGAGGTTTAAAGTTAGAACTGATAATTAAAGCTCTTTCTGATTTAGTTTAAAAGCTCATGCTACTATGTACTTGTTTTGGTTGGCTTAACTCCAAAAGGAGTAATTTAACAAACATCAAATCTTTGATCAACAGTAAGAGCTCCTGCCCAATAAACGTTGGAAGTTACTGCTCGTAAGGCACCTCTGACACCGCAAGGTGTCCAAACGCTCCCAATCCCAAGGGCAGCCCGCCTCACCCTGTGACATGGATTTAGTGTTTGCAGGTCAAGGGCTGTTGATGACCTTGGTCAGTGCTGCAGTGAGGACCTATCACTTTCAGTCTTTGGTGACCAGATGTTGCCAAATAGCACATCAAACGGGAAAGACTTACGACAAGGTGCTTGTCTGCCTTAAAAGGAATCTTTGGCAACCCACCGTATCTACTTGACCACTTCCAGAGTTAGAGCGAGATGAAAGGAAATATTATTCCTTAAAAAAAAGGTTAAAATCATTTATTTTTGGCAATTCCAAAAACAGGTGTAGGCACATTTTGAACCTACTATTTTTGATGTCTTAATTACGTATTATGTAACTGTGATGAGGCAGATTAACTTTTACAGCCCAGAGAATGTGGCCCAGTGACAATGGGCATGTTAAAAGAATGTAACAGGGAAATAACATGCATTTTTATTGCAGTTCGGCAAATGCACCACATTTATGTAATTGGGAATTCTAACATACCCCGGTAGAATTAACAGGAGATTCACTGCTTTGAGGGGCGCAAGGATTATAAACAAATCAATTGATCTTTCCTCATTTAATAAAATATTTGACTTTTTAAATATGTGCAGACAGGACTTACTGCTTATCAGGAGTTGAAGGATGAAATGCTTGCTTGCAAAGAGAGGCAAACTGGTTTGGATTCTGAATCCAATCCATTTTCGTAAAACTGGAAAAGTACACATTGAAAGTTACTGGAAGATAATTGGAAGAAATTATGAATACCTTAATATTATTTCCCTGTTAATCCAGTGATGGGAATTTCCATCGCTGTAGAAACGAGTAGGCCATTGAAAAATAGGTTATGCTTTTTAAAGAGTCTGTGGTTGTGAAAGGTTTCAGTTAAGTGTATTTAGAAATGATCAGCTTGAACCTCATGCATGATCCAGGAGTGGAACTTGTAGTTTCAGTGAAGGTATATTCTGGTGGCCTGTGTGCTTGCTCACAATTACTCGTGAACCTGGTGGATATCTTGGCAGCTTGGTGAATTGTCTTAGGAAAGAAAATAGACTTTATTGCCTGACTTCGTTGGTCTTTTATAGGAGTATACAGGAGAAATGGTAGTAGAAAAAGTACTTATAGCAAAAGGAAACAAATAATGTAATGTTCTTTTAAGAAATGTACATCTCATACTGTAGTACATTTTTCTCTAGAATTGTAATATTAATGCTAAAGTTTTTATATGAAATGGGACCAGGCTGATACTTTCATCCCAGGCTAGTATTTTCATCCCTTCAATATCAAATTCATAAAATACTATCACTGTGATTTTATTTGCAAGATCATGTCTGTGAAGTTTTCTGTATGAAAATACAATGTTGCAGTTGGGCCTCCCAGAGTAGAATTGTTCCCATCACAAGACACGAGAAGTGGTGGATGTCAGGTGTGGCCAGCCACACAGGAACATGCCTGAGTTTCTGTGTGTTATTCTAGCATCTCAGGTAGTGAAGAAATGCCTGCACCCCACACGGCATCCTTTCCGGTGTTACCTGGCAACAAAGTGCCGGGTACTTCCCATCATCTTGTCATAATGAAATACACAAAGAAACCTGAAGAATAAGGAAAAGGAGCTACCACCAACCATTAGTGGATGTCTAGCCAGCCCATTCTGAAAATATATAGCATATTATATATCATATTTCTAAATAGTAATATCACATAAGAACAGATACTAGAGGACCCAACATGTCCTGAGCACCAGTTTTTGCTTTTATGGGGCACCTGGGGTGTGGTTTGATCCATCCATCACACAAACAGAAAAGCCGCACCCTGCAAGGTCTCCGTTTTGGGGACTGCTGCGGGCCGCCAGACATCGCGGAGGAGAATTGCCCCTGGAAATCTAATGCTGCAAAGTAATATCTTTCTATATTTGATGTGACGTTCTAAGACTGCATCCAACACCATTTAGGAAAAGGGTTACTAGAAAATATTCCTGATTATCAATCAGTGAAGAGTCAGATGAGGTTGATGCCTTTCCAACAGCCATCTGTGATTTTCATAAAATTAACCCATGCACACTGACGTTTCCAGAAATTGCAAAGAATGGTGGTATTTTATGGGGAAAGTGTGTGTGCATGAAACCTTGTTGTTCTCATGAGCTGACAAGCAGTGACTTTTGTGTTGTCAATCAAGGTTCACTCAGAACCCAAAGGAATGAGCTTCAGACCTGTGTCATGCTCATGGTTTTCTTCTTTGTCTTGGAAACAACACTGAACTCCAGGGCATGGCAGCTTTATGGAGCTTGTACTGGGAACTCGGTGGGTGTTTGATTTCTGCATCTGCAGTGGCACCTGTTTCTTTTCCTTTGAGAGAATGAATGCTGCGCACATCCTTTGACAACTTAGTTAAAACTCTTAACCTGTGTCAGTTTTGCTGCAAGTACTTAAGCAAGATGTGAATCATCTGTTCCATTTCTGTTCCTTTCTCGCATCACTCTCCTAATTCTGGTGGCAGCTGTGGAATCCGTTGGCCTCTGAGGTAACTTCCTATGAAAGGTTTCGAAATTGTCTGGGTTTGGAGGTTCCTGTCTCCACTCCTAAAGTCAACACAGATTCAGGACGTAACCTGCCGTAACATTTTAGGAGGACCAATGTAAACAAAACTGTTCTTTTGTGTTGCCATTTTAGATGCTTTCCTGGGTTATAAAAAGTTACATTTTGGGATTAAAAAAATCAATGTTTGCATTTTCCCTTTTTTCCTCTGCAATATTATAATTCATAAGGTAATGACATGAGCTAAAAATGGAAACCTGCAAATGTTTCAGTTGCATCCAGACTTCTTTCAGCAGCCACATCACTCACACTTTTTCTGTGTCCAGGAAGAAGCCAGACCAGGAGGTGTTCAAGCACCGAGCACGGAAGCCAGTCCTGGCAGGTGCTTGAATCCTGCCGAGTGAATTGGTTTGAATTAACCTGACATGAAAGGCTACATGTGTTCTGATGTGAGCCTAGAGCACCTCCAAAGCTTGTTAAAGCTCTCAATAGCACTCAAATGTTGCCATTTATTAAAGATCAGCTATACCTGTTTAAGGCAAAGCTCAGGCCGGCTGTCGCTATACATGTGTAGTTAATGTATTTATTAATGCTTGAGTTCTTAAACCCTTGGCATAAATCCTGTAAAGCCTTGTATGAATGTCAATTCACACTGAGATGAAATAAATCACGTGGAAAACGCCAGTCCTCCTGAAATCTGTGCCTCGGTTGCTTTTCTGCCTGTTGGCAGCGGGTCGCCAGGTGCAGGGAGCTCTCCAGGGGGGCCGGGAGCCTCAGAGCCTGCGGAGACAGGGCCGGCGTCTCCGGCCCTTAAACAGGGAGTTGATCACCGTGGCTCCTGAGGTTCCTGGAGGGCAGAAAGTGTAAGCGGGGTGTCTCCTCCTCCCCTAGGTGCATCCCAGGGCCTCTCCCCGACCAGCCGGGCTGTGACTGCTGGGCCGCCCAGCTGCCCAGAGAGGCTTGGGGCTCCCGGGCGTCCACGCCGGGCATGGCCTGGTATTGGCATGGCCACGGGAGTAAGGAAACAGCTCACAGGTCCCAGCGAGGATGGGGTTGCCACACACCATGCAGGGCCACAGGGGAAATGCCAGGGTGGTGGGCACGGGTGAGAGGAAGCGGGGCCAGACTCGGTGAAGGTTTCCCTGGCACGGCGGGGCAGGGTGCAGTCTGCATGTAGCACCGGCTCCTCGAATGATGCCGGTGGCCCTGGGCTGCAGCGCTGGCCTCTGCTGCCTGGACCTGGCACTGTGTGGGGTTCAGGGCAGGGGCGATTTGGGCTCAGGTAGGAGGAGAGTGAGCTCAGGAGGGGTCTGTCTGCTTGTGACAGAGGGGCTCCCAGCCACACCCTCCGCCATCAAGTTTGGTCGTTCTGGGCAGGGGCAGCCTCTGCCTGGCCAGGCTGGCAGGCTCCGCAAGCTGCCAGACGTCCTAAGACAGAAAACAAAGCACGTGGTGAGTGCGGCCATCAGGCACACCCTTGCTGTTCCTGGAGAGGGCTGGCGAGTGCCAGTGAGTGTGTTGGGCGGAAACATCGGGGCCACCTGGGGTCTTCCTGGAATTCTTGTCCCTCTCCTGAGCTGCCCTGGCTTCCTCTGGGATCGAAGAGTGTGCGAGGGCCGGGGGGGCTGATGCTGCAGAACACTTCCTCCTGCCCATCCCCATGCTCAGGACAGTAGAGAAGCGGCCCCGGCCACACACAGGTGGAGACCGGATGACCACGTTTCCCACCAGCACAGGTGGGAGAGTTTATGTGCCTCGTAGCCCCAGGGTGTCAGGTGTCCTCCCTGGCATGCCCAGCAATGAGTCCCCGAGAGCAGGTTCAGAGCCTAGCTCCTGCCGGGGGGGGGGGGGCAGAGTGTGAGGGCGGGCTGCCCTCTCCCCCGGGGAGCAGGGTGTGAGGCCAAGACGGGGGTCCTCAGAATCCCCTCCCCACGTGGAGGCTTCGTCCCTAAGTCCATACACTTTCCCTCCCAGGTGGCAAAGTCCACATCCTGCGTGTGAGCTGGGGTTGGCGTCTGTGTGTTTTGGAGCCATCAGAGCTCATTCTCTGCACTGCTAAGCATGGGGCCACTTGTTAATGCCTTTTGTTTTTGTGCAATTTTTTTTTTTGAGATAACGTCTCACTCTGTTGCCCAGACTAGAGTGCCGTGGCATCAGCCTAGCTCACAGCAACCTCACACTCCTGGGCTCAAGCAATCCTACTGCCTCAGCCTCCCGAGTAGTTGGGACTACAGGTATGTGCTGCCATGCCCAGATAATTTTTTTCTATATATTTTTAGTTGGCCAATTAATTTCTATTTTTTTTTAGTAGAGACAGGGTCTCGCTCTTGCTCAGGCTGGTCTTGAACTCCTGACCTTGAGAGGTCTGCCCTCCTCGGCCTCCCAGAGTGCTAGGATTACAGGCGTGAGCCACCACGCCCGGCCTTTTCATGCAAATTTGATGTTAACCTTTGCAACACAGTCTCACAAAGTTTTTCTCTGCTTCCGTGGTATAATTTGGAAATTCTCTAAAATGTCCAGCAGTGATGGTATAACTGATCCTGCATATACAATCTAAGAAAAAAAATAATTAGACCAAGAAGAGGAGGCTTGGAATAAAAGAGAAAAAAATTAATATATCAAAAGTATTCATCACATCTATCAACAAGATATCGTCTTTAAATACGTGCCATATCGTCATTAAATACAGTGCATGTGCCAAAAAAAAAAAAAAAAAAACAGGCACATTTTCTCTTGGATTTTAGACAACAGAATCCTCTGCAGTAATACGTGGGTTGACTTGGTGTAAAGTCTGTCCAATGAAAAACGCTCTTTTCCTATAGATAATTATGAGGTCAAGAGTCAGGTCCCCACTGAATAGTGGCCCTAACAGCTGCTGCTCTTTAGAAAATGTTTGCACTTAAAATGCCGTGTGACCCTGTGATTCGAGCGGAAACGTCTTGCGGACACATGGTGCACTATGCTGCTCCGACCTCCACTTTCCTTTCTGTGGGTGAAATGAGCCGTGTGTTTTCACAACTCCCGCTGTGCGTGGGGAAAAGGCTGCACAGTGATCTAGAAGAAACCTGGATGGAGGACAGAGGGCCAGATGCAGTGTTTGTAGGTTTCAAAAGGGCAACAAAGTCCTGGAAACACCCAGGAAGGTGGATTGTAACTACCAAGGAGCAAATCCTCAGACCAGCACAGGATCCACACACAACAGAAGCTCGTCAGGTTTCCTGGGAAATTGACTTGGCAATTTCTCCTTCCTTCCTTCCTTCTTTCCTCTCTCTTTTCTTCCTTCCTTCCTTCCTTCCTCTCTTTCTTTCCTTCCTTCCTCTCTTTCCTCTCCTTCCTTCCTTCCCTCCTTCCTGGTTTTCCTTCCTTCCTCTCTCTTTCCTTCCCCTTTTCCACTGCTCTGTCCCAGCAGTGCCCGGCCCCAGGGTTGTGTGTAAATGTCGCCCGGCCAGGCCGTGCTCTGTGCACGAGATGCTTTCTCCTGGCATCTGGCCTGACCCAGATCCCGTCTGTGCGGCCGGGACAGGAAGGCAGAGCAGAGCAGTGTGCGTTGTCTCTCTGTGCGGAGGCGCAGGGTGGGGGCCACACACAACCGCGCATCTTTGTGCCTCGGCCACCACCAGGGTCCCCGCCCTCCCCCTCGGCCGCAGCCCTGGCCTTCGGGAACAAACTGGAACAATCTTAGTGGCTGTTTTGTTTTTTGCAATTTCTACCCTTCCACGCGGGTGTCTCTCTCTCTCCCTACTCTTCCTGAGGTGCCTGGAGCTGCAGAGCCGGCACCTGTGCATCATCCCTCATTCCTGCTCAGAACAGACGCAGGCGAGTGCCCCGAAGTGACCCAGGTCCCCCTGGGGAGGGCTCGGTGTGCCGGCAGGGAAAGCTCCCACGATTCCACCCACATACATTTGCATGTCCCTGGCAGCTCATCGCATCCGCCATCTCGGGCTGCCCTGACGAAGAGCTACAGGCCAGGCGGCTCATGCACAGCAGCTGTGGGACCCTCTGGGCTCCAGAGGTCACCGACGCAGGGGCCGCAGACTCTGTGTCCGCTGAGGACCTGCTGCCTGGCCTCCCCACAGTGCCTCCTCCCTGCGTCCTCCTCCAGGCAGAGAGAGTCCGGCCCCTCCTCTGCCTCCAGCGACACCAACCCCACCGTGGGCCCCATCCCACAGCCTCAGCTCATCCAGTGACCTCCGGGAGCCCCACATCCAGGAACCTCCTATTTGGGGTCAGGGCCTCACATACACTCAGGGAGATAAACATTCGGTGTGCAGCACAAATCTGATTTCAAGTGACGCAAAGCTTTTTGTTCTTCTGTTCTGGTCATAGTTGGAACGACCCTGCGCCATTTCTGGGTCCGAATTCTCACTTCTCAGCGATGGGTGCTGGCTCTGAGACATTGGGGTTCAGGTCCCGGCTCCCAGTTTCCTCCAGAATTTATCCAAATCTGCAAACATCACACTTGAAGGCTCAGGTGCGGAGCCAGGTCCACCAGCACCACCTGCTGGCGATGAGACATTACTCCACCCGGCCGAGCATGCAGAAAAATATTCAGGACCTTGAATAAGAGAAACATCAAAATATCGTACATTACATGACAGCTACTAAAAACAAACTGGGGCACCTAAGTCATTTTCAGAAATCTTTTCAGCACATTTGATATTATTTAAAGAGCATATCCACAACACATGCTTGCTGGTTAAAAAACTGACATGCACGTTTATTTTCCAATATGATGCATGCCATATGGTGAGTTAGATCTGCAGTGATTCGTTGTGTATGTAACACGCATGTAGCATGTGCTACTTCAGTGCAGGGTGCATATGCAATTTTGATGAATCCACAGTCACTATAATGAGTGAACCTGGGGGATTACTTCGATCCACAGAGGCTTTAGGGTTTTTTTTGAGACAGAGTCTCACTCTGTCACCCAGGCTAGAGTGCCGTGGCATCAGCCTCGCTCACAGCAACCTCAAGCTCCTGGGCTCAAGTGATCCTCCTGCCTCAGCCTCCCGAGTAGCTGGGACTATAGGCATGCACCACCATGCCCAACTAAATTTTTCTATATATATATAGTTTTAGTTGGCCAATTAATTTCTTTCTGTTTTTAGTAGAGACGGGGTCTCACTCTTGCTCAGGCTGGTTTCGAACTCCTGACCTCTAGCGATCCATCCCACCTCGGCCTCCCAGAGTGCTAGGATTACAGGCGTGAGCCACCGCGCCCGGCCCACAGGGGCTTTAGTTTTAAGCCTTTCGGAAAATCCCAAATATCATCAGCCTCGTCAGAGTGACTTGAGACAGAAAACTTACAGCGTGTAGCATGAACAACACACACAATCAGCAACCCGAGAGGAAGACTATACGAAGGGTTGATATTTAGAACCACCACCTCATTTGGTGCTGGGGCAGGGACACCTCCTACGTTATGCTGGGTGACCTCCACTCGGGCAGGTCATGAAGGGCAGGACGTGAAGGCGCCATTGTCTGCACCAGCCCTGCTCACAGGAGGGTCTAGAGCCCTTGCTGAGCGCCTGGGGGGTCTCCAGAGGCTGTGTCAGACCCAGGCCCTCTTTAAGACGTTCCTCACCTCCTGGGTTCGTCTCCGGTCCTGGAATTTTTAAACACGTGGAGGACGTGTCATCAGAAAAGGCTGCCACTTTGTTCATCCATAAGAAGACAATGCCTTCTGTTAAAATTCT